ATATATATATATATATATTTATTTATTTAAATCCAATCGGCCATGCACTTGAATTAAGTCCCATGTGATGTGTATTTCAATTGCCATTCAATTTTCAACCCAAGTAGAAGTCAAGCTGAGGCCCATTTATAGTGGTGTTTGCTTTCACGTTCTCAATTTTCATTCAATGGCCAATGTAGTACTCGTACTTTGGATTTTGTCCTTTTTTGACCGTTCTTGCTTCTTTTCTTCAATTCCTTTTCATTCATAAAATTTCACCCATTACACATAAAATACCAAAAATTAGAATATAATTTGCCAAAAGAACCATAAAATATCGTTATTTAAGGTATCGAATAAGTGCATAAAATACGCTTATCAAATATCCCAAACCTGTAATATGGTATCGTCAGTACCTTGCAGGGACAGGATTCTTGGTATTTACAATACGAAACTTCCTCAAATCATATTTTATTTTTTGCACAACGACCCTATTACCGACCCTTACAGATATCATATCCACAAGATTCACATATTTGCATCCAATTGAAGTAGAAGTCCAAATATAAATGCATCATGTGTTACGAATATGTTAATAGATTCAATACTTGTGTGCAAACTAATAAAATCTCTATATATACAAAGCTCTATATATAATCGACATAAAGGGATGGATAATCGCCTACATAAAAATTTTCAAAACAAATGATTCAGGTGTTCATATTCTGGAAGCATAGGTAGCAAAATAAGATAATAATTTGAGAAAATTCACTGCAGGTTACATGTTCTTACATAACTAATTGAAATATTTTACTATGCCCCGAACCCAATCTACCGTAACTTTGATCTACGGAATTACAAGTTGTAAAAGTAAAATTTAACACCAAATTATTCTCTAACATAAAGGATTGAATTTTGCAAAGCAAAGAATTGTGATTTGCTTTCGTTTCAGATGATGTTCAACACAGGAGAAGCCCACCTCTCCACTTTGCTGTAGCTACACAATAAATTTTAAATTTGAATCTACATCTCTATTGCAATTAGTGTTTGATTACATTTATCTTCCATAGAAAGTATCAGTTTTCCATCCAAATTCCTACTTGAAGTGTTTGATTGCTATTTTTTTTCATGGAAAACATTTTCTAACTTTTGAAAATATGCCTAATTTTCCTTGAGTAGAGGTGGTTTTTATTTTCCACAAAAGATGGAAAATATTTTCTTTTCTAGGTGATATTTTCCATCTGATGCAGGGAATTTCAAGTTTCTATTACAAAACTATTGAAGCCAAGTTTGGAAAACAGTATTTTCAATGATTTTTCACATCTTTTATAGTACTTCTTATATTTTTAGAATTATAGTGTAATATGAAATCTTTTTTTTATTTTTTATTTTTTATTTTTTATTTTTTATTTTTTATTTTTTATTTTTAATGGGTATGTGTAAATTTTTCCCTAAATTATTTGAGGTCATTTGCACGTTTATTGCCAAGCATTTTTTTATTTTTGGTCCCCTCTAAACAACTGTGTGTGTGATTAGCATTTGGAAAATATGCCCCATTCATTCAAAATGGATGAAATTTCATACATTTTGTCATCGGTCAAACTCATTTTACTTGAAATGACGAAAATAAAAGGGCAAACTTGTCATTCTAATATTCTTAATTAAAATATTATGTAAAAAGTGAAAAATGAAAAATTCAGGGAGAAAAAATGCAAGAGCAAAGTAATAAAAAGAAAAATTGAAGAAATCCAATCATCTTTTCCGCCCCCAACCTCCAAACCTTTCTCGTCCTCAACACCACCACCAACCACTGCGTGGATTATCAGGTTTGCATGGAAAATCAGTTTTTTTTTTTTTTTTTTTTTTTTTTTAAAGGGGCGGTGAGGCGTGGTGACGGTGACAATGTAGTGGCGGTAGCAGTATTATCATATCCACGATATTCACACATTTGCATACAATTGAACTAGAAGTCCAAATGCAACGCTATCCCCGTGTTACGAATGCGTTAATCTCCATATTTGCGTGCAAACTAATAAAATAATGTCATGTATGTGTATTAGTTCCGCAATACTGTGTTATATTCAATTTACATTGATATCACTCGTGCTTGGTAGGAAATTATTAGACAACCCCCAAGTAAGTTTATCAATGTTTAATACATATATTTGTTACAAAACTACTTAGACAGTGCAAATTGTCAATATGGATTGTTCCTGTCCCTTTTTAATGTTATTACTCTTGCTACATATTGTTATGTATATTGTTATTGAATATTGTGTCATTTTTAATTATTATTACTGCATATAGTTGATGAGACTATGTGTATCAATTCGAGTAATGATATTTGGACCTTGCTACAGCAACATAAGGCCTGACGTGCAGATTGACAGAATACACACAAGGTTGGGATTTTTTTATTCACAACGGGACCTACATCAATTGTGAGAGGAGGTCAGTGCTTCGATCGAGAATTTTCTGTCACCTCAACAAAATCCATGATATTTATTTATATAGAGTGAAGGTTGTCACCCATCTATTTAGCAATGGAGCCGGTTGAGAAAAACATTAGTTGGACAGTTTTAGCCCTTGTTTGAGCTCCATTTTTTGAAAAAATTATATTCTTAAACAGTATTTTGACATCATTTCAACAACTATTTTTAATAAGATAATATTATGCACAAATACAAAACTTTCATTTATTTTTTAACCACACATTTCACATCAATACACTATTCAAAAATACATTTTTATGATAAAAATGGGGCTCGAACAAGGACTTATTATATACACGTGATGGGACTGCCGTTTAAATGATGACACCTAGAACTTTGACTCATTCAATTTGTGATACTTCAACATCAAAATAGTAAGACAGAAACATAATGGTAGTAGAATCCATTCGAATATCGAGGTGTCGTGATTTGAGCTGGTTGGTCTAAGGTTTCACGATTTAAATGATTAATCTTACCACGTTTATATATAAAGCCATCATACCAACGACTTTCCTCCCATCACCACATAAATCAATGATGATCATCACTTCTGATGAATATAACTATTCATTCAATCTCAACTTTCAAATACTTTTATAATTTTTTTTCAAGTGATTGATTTTCGTAGAGTTATTAATTCACTCGAAAATCCGAAGAAGATTCCTCGTCTGAGTTACATTATTTAAAAACTCATATTTTCAATTCATTTTCAACTACGAATTCTTCAAATAAAATAATTTTACACAAAAATTCAAAAATTTTCCTATTTTTTAATTACGCATTCTTAAAAAAATCATTATTATGGTAGTCAAACAAACCCTAAGTTAATGTTTGGCCCACCCCAACCATTTCTAAAACTTATTTCAAATTCATTTTCAACTATATATTTTATATAGCTCAGACCTTTTATCAAATTTTGCACACATTTGATTAACTTTCATTAAAATCTACTAAAATATAATTTTTCTACAAATTAAGCATTTAGGTCTGATATTTGAGCCGCATGACCTCATACATTCAACACGGAGTTTTTAATAAGAGAATTGTGCACACAAATATGCATACGGGACAAAACCTTGACATTGTTCACCAATTTTTTTACAATTTCATGAATTGTTGTGTTACGGAGTTGTTTTATAAATTATTTACAATCGATGATTGACCATTTATAAAACCTTTTTCGGGCATATTAAATTGTGTTTTCAATCAAATAATGAGTGATAGAGACGAGGATCTAATTTTAAATTTTAAAAGTCTGTTAAAATATTTTGCTCAAGTAAATTATTAGTAGTTCCCGTGAGTTCAATAATTTTAGGTCAATTATCCCGTATTGGCCGGCGATAATATGGGTGCCCCCACGGCCTTTCTTCCCGTGACTTATTGGCGGCTGAACTTGAGTTTACTTATAAGTAAATTCGGAATAAATAAACTGTACACATTAAAATTAGGGACATGCTATGGGTAAATAAAGGGGGCACCCGGCACATGTGCGGGGGGGGGGGGGGGGGCACCATTATGTGCCCCCTTTATGTACCATAAGGGTTTTCCTTAAAGTTAACAAATAATCAATTAATTTTTTTTTAAATAAGTTTATTCAAACATATTTTAAAGTGGGTGGAGTTCTCAAATAAATAAATTTATTTAAATAAAGTTATGGATTACAAAGATAATTGTATATATGTGCCGCAGGGTTGAGATTTCATCTTTATAACTTGTTACTCGTGTTCCCTTATTTTTTCCTTTTTTTAATTTTATTTTTTGGTAATGAAACTTACAATTTATTTTGTTTGTCACTTTGTTGTACCACTACATTTACCATAAATTTCGATTTACCAAATGTATAATGTTAGCCATATATTCATTTTGCACCTTGTGATTAGAAGTCTAAAGTAAATTAAATGAACGTATATCAATTAATGTTGTGCCTGTTAGACACATTTGTCACGTTCAATTGGGAGAGCCATACCCCCAAAAGCAAGCCAACTAGATTAGATAACGCGAGCCTATATAAATCACATAAAGGAAGTTTACACTTCTAATATGTGATATAGGTATCCAAAAATTCCAATGGGAACCATAACAAACCACCACCTTCTCGACTCGACGTCCACGTAGAGCAGATACCTATACATCCTAAGTGATAATTGAGACCAAAAAACGTGATGCCTGCTCTTATACCATGTCACGCNTACATATTTTGACATTTGACGCAATTTCACTTGAGGAAATCCTATCCGCTGAGAGAACTTTGGTTGGAATATCCAGTTACACGCGTTTCTCCTGGGACTTGGGAGTGTGTCCAAAATTTGCTTAAATACAGCAAACTTCCCGATAACCAGTTGTCATTTCCTAAGCCCTATTTTTTATCTGGTTTTCATCAAGATCTTAGCCATTTCTTCTTTGTACTACAGTAAGTGGCTTTTTCTCTAGAAATTTAAGGGCTTATAATTTCTTTTGTGATATTCTGTGTTCCTATCTGTCCTTTCTCTTTGTGGTATTGATTAATTTCGTTGGTTCCTATTCAATCCCTTTCTATTTCTACTTTTAATTATTTGAAAGCTGTTCTTTTATTAGGATATTTATATGATTGCTCAAGAGGAGCATATATTAGATTTGTTTTTGTATTCGTTCTTAGCAATTATAGTGAAAAGCTTGAGTTTTGACTTAGTTAGATATTGGGTTTTTAATTAATCGTAAGTATTGGATCTTCTTTGTTACTAGATTTTAATGGGGATATTGGAGGAGTTCTAAAGAAGGAATTGATTTAGTGAGTTTTGATCAGATGGGGAATACTTGTGTTGGTCCTAGCATGTCAAAAAATGGTATTTTTCAAATGGTCTCGGCTGCTATGTGGCGATCCCGTGCACCAGAAAACAATGGTTCATCCATCAATGGAGAGAGTGTAAAAAATGAGATTCCAACCTCTGATAAAGAACCCGAGTCACCAATGCCAGTACAAAGCACTGCACCTAAACAAGTGACAATTCCAAAACCTGTTACAAAACCAGAAGAACCGGCCAATTCGAAGAAGCCTCCACATATGAAGAGAAATGCCAGTGCAGGACTTAGGACTGATTCTGTTTTACAAAGGAAAACAGGGAATTTGAAGGAGTATTTTAGTTTGGGGGAGAAACTAGGACAAGGCCAATTTGGGACAACATTTATTTGTGTGGAAAAGTCAACTGGGAAAGAATATGCATGCAAATCAATTGCGAAGAGGAAGTTGTTGACTGATGACGATGTGGAGGACGTTAGAAGGGAAATTCAGATAATGCATCATCTGGCGGGTCATCCTAATGTTATTTCCATTAAAGGGGCTTATGAGGATGCTGTGGCTGTTCATGTTGTTATGGAATTATGTGCAGGGGGTGAGCTTTTTGATAGAATAATTCAACGTGGGCATTATACTGAAAGAAAGGCAGCAGAACTCACTAGGACTATAGTTGGAGTGGTAGAAGCTTGCCATTCTTTGGGGGTTATGCATCGTGACCTCAAGCCGGAGAATTTTCTTTTTGTTGATCAGGAGGAGGAATCACTTCTCAAAACAATTGATTTTGGTTTATCAATATTCTTCAAGCCAGGTATGTATGTGTGTGCAGGGTGTATTTTAGACGATTCTTTACTATTATCCACGTGTGATCTTGCTCCTTCGCAAAATTATGCCAGTAGAACAATAATGGAAAGTTAGATTAACGAACACTTGATAATGTTAAAGATGAAAAAGAACTGAAACCTTATTGATTTTAGTGTCTCTTCTTAATTGCCAAACAAGAATAACTTCCATTAATAAAAAACCAACATGACAAATGGTTTGTATGCTTTAAGCTTTTATATTCATTAGACAGCTGAATCCCCTGATTCTTTGTTGTGAGGGCTTGATGTTGCAACTTCATACCCACTTGAATGAGATGAAACAACAATGTCACACCATGTTATGCTAATATGAAATCGAGGATGTTTCACTCGAACTATCATCTTGTTCTTGGAAGCCTGGCAAAGCATCCAATTGCTCTTTTGATTAAATCTGATTTTTTTTCCCAATTAAGTGGGTGTTCATTTGATGTTGCTCTCACGTGTAATTTCAAAGAGTTTTGGATTAGAAATTAATCGATAAGCTTTTCTTGATAACTATTAAAATAGATCATAGTATTTCATTTCGAAAGCCTCTGTATTCTAATTTGAGCAGCCTATTTGACAAATTTTTTACTTGCAAGTTAAACAGATATGGATTGAGACCAAAATTAGCCCAGTTGTTGAGTTTCCAATCCACTTGCAAGTGAATGCAGGTGTGGTGATCACTAAGCTTTTAAAAAAATTTCACAAAATTTCATTTCGTTTTAAGTTAGTTACTTAACTTAAACTTTGTTATTCCATCCATATCTGTTTGTTTGACTAATGGAAAATGTGTCGTATCAATCCTGTTATTTGCCAACTGAACAGTCACATTAGCTTTTCCGATGGTCAAACTAACTGATATCGATGAAATGACCAACTAACAAACGTTTAATTTCAGTGACCAACTTGGAGCAAAATAATGGTCAGTGACCAATATAAATTTTCACTATAAGTTCAGTTCCGCCAGTGATTTAACCTGTTATATAACTGTTTTATTATGTGTTTGTTGTAGTTTTGCGTCCTTTACTCTCTTAGCCTCAGAGTAATCGACGGCTTTCTATTTTCAGGGGAAAGTTTTTCCGATGTGGTAGGTAGTCCATATTATGTTGCACCAGAAGTTCTTCGGAAGCGCTATGGTCCTGAAGCCGATGTCTGGAGTGCTGGAGTGATTGCTTACATTTTACTAAGTGGAGTTCCTCCTTTCTGGGACGGTGAGAATTTCAGAAGTTCACTGGCAACTGCATCAACATATGTTTGCGTTTGACTTTAATGCATGTTTGTCCATGCTTGAAATGAAGTAAAAGAAACTCTTTGATTCCAGAAACATTTGCTTTTTTCTCACTTTTATGTAATTGATTAGAAAAATTATTTTCTTTTTAGCAGAACTCATATTATTTATTTTTTTGGCAAAACTTATTATTTATAGGTAAATTTTAGCCTTAACAAACGTTCCTATGATATGAAATTTTCTCATCTTGTTTATTCATTTATTTGTATTGACTACAGAAACTGAACAAGGAATATTTGAACAAGTACTCCATGGAGATCTTGACTTCTCATCTGATCCCTGGCCAAGTATATCAGAAAGTGCAAAAGATTTGGTAAGGAGGATGCTTGTTCAGGATCCCAGACAGCGTTTAACTGCACACGAAGTTTTGTGTAAGTGTTTTTTTTATTCACCTGAGATTTTCTTGATTCAAGTAAATACTGAAGGAATGATTATGGTCTGGCCAATTAAGTGCCATGACTGGCTGACGCCGGGCTTCCTTGTGCTTGAGCAGTCGTTCTCCTTTGACACCTCTATGTGCAAGAAATTGAAGCTTAAGCCGAGCTTGCGAAGCTAGCAAGCTGGCTCAACTTGTTGAAGGTTGCTGCTAAGGCACATCCTTGTCTATACACTGCCAAGACCATTTCCATACAAGACTTAAAGGGTTAATAGCACAAAACGTCCCTACGTTTGACACTTATTGCGAAAAATGTCCCTACATTTCATTTTTTTTTGCATTTTCATCCTTATTTCAACATTTCATTGCTAAAAAGCCATTTTCACGATTTTTGAATGTAAAATTACCAAAATACCCTCCTATTTAAATAAAATCAAAAAAAGAAAAAGAAAAGAAAAGTAAAGAATAAATTCCAATTTTACTCCTAAATGTTTTAAAAAGTGCAAATGAGTTCAAATAATTATTAAAAGGTATAATAGCTCAAAGCTTCCCTACGTTTGGCATGTAGTGTGCAAAACATCCCTAAGTTTCAAATTGATGAAAATGACGTTTTCGACAATGAAACGTGAAAATAGGGATGAAAATGCAAAAAAAACTTGAAACGTATGAACGTTTTCCGCAAGAAGTATCAAAGGTAGGGACGTTTTCTGCAAAAAGTGTCAAACGTAGGGATATTTTATGCTATTAAGCCTTATTAAAATTGAAACCATTGCCAAATCGGTGAACCTCTATACCATTTCTAAAATACCATCACCCAAACTCCGGCGGCACCACTTGTTCCGAAGAGATCCATGTCATTTTCAACACACCAATCAACTATACTCACCATGGTGCTTCTCTTCATGGTTTCTTCTTCTCCAAATGGGACTGCCACTTTAGAAATGAAAAAGCTCCGACCAACCATCGCTCAAACCGCCGAACCTCCATGCCGTCGGAGTTTTTTCATTTCTAAGGTGACGTCCCATTTGGAAAATAAGAGACCATAAAGAGAAGCGTCTTGATGAGTATAGTCGATTGGTGTATTGGAAATAACATGGATCACTCCGGAAGAGGTGGTGCCGTTGGAGTTTGAGTGATGGTATTTTGGAAATGGTATGGAGGTTCACCGGTTTGGCATTGGTTTCAATTTTAATAAGGTCTAATAGCACAAAACATCTCTACATTTGACACTTTTTGCGAAAAACGTCCCTACCTTTGACACTTCTTGCGGAAAATGTCCATACATTTCAATTTTTTTTTGCATTTTCATCCTTATTTTCACGTTTTATTGCGAAAAACGTCATTTTTTATCAATTTGAAATGTAGGACGTTTTGCACACTATATGCCAAACGTAGGGACGTTTAGTGCTATTATGCCTTTTAATAATTATTTGGACTCACTTGAACTTTTTAAAATATTTAGGAGTAAAATTGCAATTTATTCGTTATTTTTCTTTTCTTTTTTTTGATTTTATTTAAATAGGAGGGTATTTTGGTAATTTTACATTCAAAAATGGTGAAAAGGACGTTTTTAGCAATGAAACATTGAAATAAGGATGAAAATGCAAAAAAATGAAACGTATGGACGTTTTCCGCAATAAGTGTCAAACGTAGGGACGTTTTGTGCTATTAACCCAAGACTTAAATTTTAAACTTGTGTCCAACTGTTATACTATTGAACCTTCCCTCAGAACTCCTTATATTAAGCCCTATACAATTTCACCTCCATAAAAATTCCTAAAGTCAAAACATAGAAGTATTGTGTGAGCACCAATTTCCTGTTACTACTAAAGAGAACCAAATTAGAGCATCCATGTATAT